GCCGCCGGACCGCCGTCCTGCCCGTCCCGGGGCCACGTCCTCTCTGGCCTCAGTGGCCCCTTTTGTAAAGTGACCCTGCCCTCCTGGGCCTAGCTCAGCGGTGACCCTAGTAGAATGGGCCTGAGACCGGTCTGGGACAATCCCAGACTTACGCCGACTTTGGGAAGGGTAGGTTAGGGTGACTTTCAGAGTGCGCCCCGTGTGAACGTGCCAGCGCAGGGCGCGGTGGGGGCGGGGTGTAAGTGGGCCCCTGGGGCAGAGGGGCCCGCGGGAGCACGGGGCAGCCCTCTGGGGGAACGCTGGGAGGGGAGCTGTCATTCCCCCATGTGCTGCCTGCTACACACACTGGGGGGGACTCTGCTGGTGTCGAAGGGAGGGGCACACCTGGCCTGACATCCCACCCTGAGCCGCGCGCAGGCACCCAGAGGAGGAACGGTGTTTGCCTGTTGGGGTGGGGGTGTCCCGTCAGACTCAAGGGAAGGGCTGTGACGGCTGGAAAAGCCCAGGACCCTCCCTGCTGGACACAGATGGGCCCCAGGCACCCTGTCCACAGGCCCTGGGAGAGAGGAGCCTCCTCTGAGTGGGATGCAAACGCCGTCCCCCTGCAGATTCAGGGGACACTGCAGGTGACCCCCACCCCAAACCCTCCCTGGGAGGTGGCCCTGGGACTAGAGCCAGAAGTTTCTCCAATTGCCCCTCCCCCACCCAAGGCCCAGGGCTAATAACCCTTTTGTAAGAGGAAGACTTGTGAGTTACCTTCCTGGGGTTGGTAAGTATTTGGGGGGGGGGTCATTTTGTTTTTTATCCAGAGCCAAAGCTCATCTAGGGCACGGAATGGGGGGTAGGGCAGGGTGGGGGGCACATAGACAGAAGCAGGTTCAGCCCAGTGGAGCCCCCAGGACAGTCTGCAGCCAAAATTGGGACTGTGCCCCTGCCTCCTGGGGCTGACCAAGAGAAAGACACTCCCAGAGAACTCTGTCCCCTTGCACAGGGGGCACTCAATCCTCCAGAGGGGGACTCCCAGTTCTTGCCTCTCCCACGGGCACCTC